ACCACTCAAATAACTTGGGGTTATCTGCAGAATGATAAACACAAAGGGGATAAGATATAATGAGGAGTTGGACTTTTTATATAAAATGTAAACAAATGTTTGAAGCCTTAACAAGTCTTCTTTTCTTCATCATTAAAATCAAACAATGGCAGGACAGGATTCATGTAGCCCAACTCAAATAGTTGGGCTTAAGTCTGATTCTAGTTGAGCAATTAAGCTAATTCCTGATGTAGAGCATCCTCTATATGCGGGATCCATTCCCTGATGCACAATTGTATTCAGTACATGAGCCATGCCAGATATTCCCCATTTGGGAGCGTTTATTGGATAATAAGTGTTTATTCTAATAAGCGCTTATGAGTGCTTGATTTGATGAAAGAGTGTTTCTTTTAAAATGAATCTAGTATAGGTATTTTGAAAATTACGTGATGGGCCAAGACAGGCCAGAAACACAATAAGCACTTCTCAAAAAGCGCTTGAAAAAAACAGACAAAATTTTCAGCTATTCAAAATGGGCTTATTTCCTAGAAAAAACACTTATTAAATTTCCCAACTCAGATAAGCATTAAATTTTCATTTCTAAAACCTAGTTCATCTTGCAATTTGTCAGCTAACAACATTATATCATCTCCAACCAAAAAAAAAAAAAACTACTATGAATAACATCTAGGAGGTGATTATCATATAGAAATATAAAAATATAGAAGAAAATATAATACAACTTAGAGGTGTGTATCAAAATGAAATTCTCCTTTAATTTTCTTTTCATTTTGATACACTCATCTAAGTTGCATTATATTTTCTTTTATATTTTTATATTTCTATATTTTCAGTCAGCAATTCAATTTCCTACGTTTTCCAAGGAATAATGTAGTACCGTGAGTCCGTGATAAAAATGTGTGAAATGTGTTAAACATTAATGCTAACCATGTGATGAATATCAAGTTATTGACTACGATAACATGTAGAAGAATAAGTGCTTTATATTGATATGATACATCGTTGTTGTTTTCTTAGATAATGCTTCGTCCTAAAATTTGATAAAGTAATTCTGGGTTCTATGTATATTTTAGGATAAATTATTAAAACTTTTCCTCTAAAGTTTGGTAATTGTAATCACCTCCCCTGAATTTTCTAGTACAGTTATYGGTAGATCCCGTTTGTTAGAATCCTCTAACAAGAGGTATGAAAATGTCCAAAATACCCATGCAGTTACTTTTGACCAAAATGTTTATTTTCCATTCTCTTTATATCAATCGCTACCCCAAAACTTTCTAATCTCTTTTCGGAAATTGATTCATTTTCCAAATTTTCCTTCATATCAATCTCTCAAAGGTAAAGGTGCAGCTTTAAACTCTCCTTTTTTTTGTTGTTCACAAAGTTTGTACTGTTTTTTGTGTAAAAACCAGCCTCAATAGTAAGTACATGAATATTTTGGACATTTTTCATACTTCTTGTTAGAGGATTTTAACCAAGTGGGTCTACTTGCAACTATGTCATAAAGTTGAAAGGAGGTGATTGCAATTACAAAACTTCAGGGGAGGTTTCAGCAATAACCAAAAACTTCATGGGAGGTTTCAGCAATTTGCTAGTTAGGCACTATTAGATGCCACATAAGCAAAAGGGTGAAAACATTAATTTCCATTGCAAGAAACATCAAAATAATATTTTCTTTAAAAGTTGCTCTTACATAATTGAAGGCATTAGTTTTATTTGAAACATTTTGAGAATGTTAAACTGCAAGGTGCCGACTGGCTGGTTGGTAAGGTCTCACATTGGTTGTAGTTGAGACTTGGGATCAAATCCTGCCTAAACCAGGGTTAAAACCAGTAACCGGTAACCAAAACTAAATCAAAGCCGGTCGGTTAACCGGTTGACCAACTCGGTTAACTGTCGGTTTGGTTACTTGGTTTTTCGGTTTTTTATATTTATAGTGTATATTATAAAAAATATATTAATTTATAATATAAAGAAAATATAAATATATATATATATAATATACATAAAATATATAGAATTATATGTATACCAATCGGTTTAGTTAACCATTTGTTTTCTGTATTGGTTAACCAAAACTGAATTGATGCCTTTGGCTTTTTAAAAATCCAAACTGAAAACCGAACCAACCAGTTTGGTTTAACCAAAGTTTTTGGTCCGGTTTCATCGGTTCAGTTCGGTTTTTTAGTTTTTCTTGTTCATCCCTACCTGCAATGGGTTATTGGGATGGACTACCCCTATTGTGTAGCCCTTGGAGCGAAAAAAAAAAAAGAAAATGTTAAACTAAACAAGAAAAAATGGAGAGAATAAAGCACCTACATGACATTGACATATCAATGTTTTAAAAACTGACCTGGAGGCCAAATATATATTTTATCAATAAATAATGTATAAATATATTTTAGATATTTTATATGCATTTTTATATTTAATTTATAGTTTTTAACTCAGTTTTTTAATTTTTCATTTATAAAAAATATTAAAATTGTAATTTAAGGCCAAAAAAGGTTGTTTTTTGCAAAAATAGCGGGGAAAAGTGCCTATGGCACCTTGGGATGCATAGATCTCGAAAAGTTACCCAAAATAGGAAAAAAAATCACCTCAATCTAACATCGAAGTGTAAAATTATGGCCTCTGAAAGTTTACATACATTGATGAGTGTACAACTTGTGACCCAGTGGCCGGGTCGAATGGATCAATAGTTGAACCAATTGGGTCAAACGATTTCTGACAAAATCAATAGTTTTTTACCGTCTAACAGGTCTTAACTGAACCGGACCCAAAATCTTGGCGATGTGACAGTTCCAATGATTCCACCGACCGAATGAACGATGGGTTGAAAACACTATTACATATAAAAACGCCTTGTAGAAACAACTTGGTACCATTTGATTTGATTGTGATGCCTCTTGTTTTTTTTTCTCAAAGATTTTGCATAAGATGAAAAAACAATAAAGGAAAGAAACTCATAATAAGCATTTGTTTCAATCTTTAATTTGCCTAACAAGATTTTTCTTTGGCAAGAATTTGAATATATTATTAATTTATTATTAAACCCACTAGAAACATATGAAACAGATTAATATCGTACTTGCGATACACCAAATCATGGATGAAACCCATTAATTACCCCAGCTTGATCATATATATAACAAGTGCTTTCAAAAATAAAGAAAGAAAAATTACTTTTTCATGAGTGACTTTTAAGGAATACCCAATAAATTCACACATTATCCACTTTTACACCTACTAAACTAAAGAGTTGAAAATTTCCACCAAAATGTATTGAGAAGCTGAATCCATTTTTTAGTTCCCATGTTTGCCCTTTAAACATGGTTAATTAATGAAATGCAAAGAAGAGAAACGTGGTTTCCAACTTTCCATATACAACTCTTTATTTTCAACTAAAGTTAAGTTTGGAAGGAGTATAAATACAAATATCTACATCGTGTTTGGAAGCGTGGGCGCTTTTTGGGACGAATTTTCAAGAAAAAACGTCCATGCTTCCAAGACTTGTTTTTCACCAAAAAAAAAAAAAAACGCTTATGCCACATAAGTAGTGAGCAACACTATGTTGTTTGGTAAGGTGATTTTCATCACTGTTTTTCATGTATGTGCTGACAGGTAAGCACCAGATAGGATACACATCAGTCAACTGTTAGTGGGAATAGTTCACTGATGCATGAAACACCAACGTGGC